TAACTCGAGGTCTCAACACAAGTATTGTCTAAATTCAATTCGGTTTGATATTTTTTAACCCACTCACAACCCAAATTTTTAAAATCTCAACCTAAGCCCTATTTTTTTCGAGTTGAATTTAGGTTGGCTCGCCCAAGTTGCATCCTAGTGTTGATGATCAATGCCTCTAGCAGTAGTGGTAGTAGAGAGTCCACGCTTGATCTTTTGAGTCAATTGTTTAATTAAAGTTTAGTAATGAACATTTTCTTTCTTTATTTATTGCATTTAGTTCTTATTTTTTATGCATTATGTTGGTTGTTAAATATTTAAATTACATTCTCAGTTATGAATTGATATCAAAATTTTTGAGCAATTAGCTTAGCTGTCACTTACAGCTATTTAAGTAAGGCATGGAATTTTACTCTATATTTATAGTATTTTGTGTTATATTCTCATAGAAACTCACATTTTGTTCACTTCTTGACTTGTATAAATTCAAATTTTAGTAGGTAACTTTTGCTTTGAGGACTTGATACATATGGTGGAAATGTACAGTGACCCTGGTGAGTTTTGATTCAATTTTTGTTAGAGGGTCATCTACATTTACTCAATAAAGAATTATTTTATTTAACTAATCTCATTGAATAGTCTCAATATTTTGCGTTGGTCAATGTTGATTTTGTAAATGATTGCTTATATTTTGAATTATTTTCATGGGAAATGTATTATCAAAAACTCTTGAGATATAATTTTAGACCATTTTTGATATATTTTTAGCCTTAGCCTTATTCCTTATATAAATTGTTATCCCTAGAAGCCATTATTGAGCTTTTTTGAATAAAAGCTCAATTCTCAAACCACATATAGTATAAGCAAGCCAAGAATATGATACAATATCCCTTACCATTGGTTATCTTGAGATTGAGTTGTTAGTGCAAGTAAATGGGAGTGCTAATTGGGAAAAAAAATTAAAAGGAAAATAAGATATATTATGTCTAGCATTGGAAAAAAAATTAAAAAAAGAGAAGTAAAGGTAGCAAGCTTGCAGTTGAAAAGAAATATTTGAGCAAATATTGTGAATTTTGCTTTTTACATGATGATGAGTGAAAGACTGTCAACGAAATATAGTTGTAGAATGTGTTGTTCTCTCGGGACAATGTTTTGAACTCATGAATATCCTTTGTTTCAAAACGTTAATCACAAGACCTCATTACAACCTTAGAAAAAGATTTATTCAATCTCAAGAGTGTATTGTCTGATGCATAACTTGTGTAAATAAAGAGGAGAATGGTGATTGTTTGCTTATTATGTGTTTATTTTTTTTCATGAGTCTATGTCAAGTCCTCTTCTTTTGGATAATGGTTGTTTTAATCGGAATATGTGAGCATTATATTGTTTTTATTTAAATACATTATTCTCACATGTGTAAACTTGAGGGAATAGTCACTAAATGATTGATAATTGTAGAGTTGAGTTACTTGATGTATTCTAATTTGATACAGTTAACACACACTGCACACGAGTTTTTATGAGAACATGATGAAATTATACTTCGATATAGCATTTAGTTCCATATTTTGCTTTGCAGGTGTTTGTAAATGCTTGCAATTGAGAACTTGTAGATTTTGTTATTAATTCATGATATGTGAATGTGATGAAAATATTTAACAACAGGGTGATGTTTATAGGTAACATCTTTGAAAACTTTCACGAGATTATACTCGTCCACTAGGGGGAACCTATGAATTTAAAGGTTTATTGCATCTGCTAAATGCAATCGTGAGTCCTAAGAAAGTGGATGCATGTTTATTTTATTTTGTTTTGTTTTCCTTTGTCTTACTAGGTACTAGCAAGAAGTAAGTTGGGTGGTATGATTAGCCATGAATTGTGCATATTTAATATAAGGTTATTTGACTAATTACACAGTGTAAGGTAGTTAATTGTGCATAATTGGTTAACTTCAGGATTTTGTCTCGCTTTTGTAGTGTTTGCCAATTTTATAGGTAAAATAATTGATTTCAATACTTGAAGGGACAAATGCGTGAAGGGAAAAAGATTCGGAGCAGTTAGAAGCAAAAATGGATAAAAAGAGTCGTGCGTCCGGACGGTTGAGAATGCACATCCGAATGCGACTTCCAAAGCTGTAAAGGCAAGAGAAATAGGTGCGTCCGGGCGGTACAAAATGCGCGTTCAGATGCAATAGGCAGAAAGGGCAACGTAAAGAACAGCCATCCGGACGGAAGAGGCAGAATACTTTGAAATGCTTGACTGTTTCCTAGGGTTTTGGGGTTTCTTAATTTACCCATAAATATGGGGATCCTTTACGTTGTATTGATTACTCTTCCTTCCTACCTAGCAGCTTTTAAGTTATTTTTCTAGGTTTTTAGAGAAGTCTCATGGCTTCTGAGTAATTCCTTTATACTATTTAGTTAGGGTATAGTTTTATGAATGGGACCTATGTAATTGTTTTATGCAATTTATTATTCTTGATTCTTTAATGTTACATCTTTCTTTTACTCAAGATTGATTGAATGATTTTTAGCAAAGTTTTATTCTTTGTACATTTATTTGATTGTTCGTTAACTTAATTAAGTTCTTGGTCTGAATACTTATAAATCTCTGTGAGTTTATAAAATTATTTCTTAAATTTATATTTTCAAATCAATCAAATTATCTTGTGAACATGATTAATTCCAGATCCCAAAGCTAAAGGATTCCTTTTCCTTTTGATAATTCCTATTTAATTTACTGCATTTATTTTTACAAACCAAATTTCAATATTCCAAAGCAATTTTTCCACTTCCTTCTTTATCTGTTTTTAAGTTTTTTCAATCATGTGGTAAAAGTATATTTACTACTTAATCACCTGTACTCAGGGCGGCCCAACAGTATGAAAAAAAAAATATAGGCTTTAAACTCCAAATTTTTAGAAAGTCTCATAATTTCAAGTACATCACTAGCCCACAAAAAAAAAATTAAATCGATTAAATTTTAAGCCCTACAAAAAGCCCCAAAAAATTAAATCCAATCAAACTTTTTATTGCAATAATTTGGGCCTATAATCCAATCAAATCCATAACATCAAAATCTTAGAAATTAAAAAAATTTAAAAAATACTTAAAAATCAACTCATATTTACTTCTACCCTCTCTCTCGTAAAAAAAATAAAAGTTGAAATTAAACACTCTCCCTCTCTATGGTAAAAAACAAAAACAAAAGTTGAAATCTCTTTCTCGAGAATATTAACATATTCTTTTTTGTTTTCCTCTCACATAGAAAATTAAAAATATATTATTTTTTTTAAAAAAATAATGCTAAAAATAAAAAGGCATCAATTTAATATTTTCGCTTTAGGCCTCAAATTGGTTTGAGTCGCCCTTGCCTCCACTTAGGTGTACCTATTCGGGATCAAGCAAATGACTAGAACAACAATTAAATAGGTAACTAAAATGCATTAACTCATACATGATGTTGTTAGCAAGTTCTCTATAATGTGAGAGTGTTACATTGAGATATGAAATAGACGAGTTTTTTTATTGTGATAAACAGTGAAATTCGTTAGTCACATAGGTCTTTCACTATCTAATTTTGTTGCCTTCATTGTACAGACAATAAAATTAGACAGTGAAATATAATTTTGCTATTCAATTCCACTATTATATTTGTTTCATTTTCAAAACTCACATTGAAATTAGTAGGGTGTAACTTGGGCGGCCAACCCAAATTCAACCCAAGTCCAACCCGAAAAAAACAGTGTTTGGGTTAGAATTTTTAATACATGGGTTAGGCCTAGACGAAAAAACTCCAAGCCGAATTGAATTTGGACAAGCCTCGGGTTGAGGTCTTAGGTTGTTGGATTCAACCCGAATATTAAAATTTGGTTGAATCTAATTATTAAATCGGGTTGAACCTGAATATACATAAAATATATAAATATATTTAACTAGGTTATTATTTATCTTCACTCTTTAGAGTCTAAACTTTCATTTCACCTTTAAGTTTTCACCTCTGCGCCTCCATCACTCTCAAATCCCTCTCTCACTCGTCACTCCTCCCTCTCTTAGCCTCCCTCTCTCAATCGTCACTCGTTTGAGTTGTCTTAGACTCTCAGCCTCCTCACTCTTTCTCTCTTCATCTCAGATCACTTCAAAAAATCAACCTGAATTAAATAACTAAAGTTCAACCCGATTTTTAACCCGAATTCAACCCGAGTCTGTCCGAATTAAACTCAGGCAATACTCGGATTGAGTACCTCGAGTTGAGGCAGGGTTAGGGTTAAACATTATATACCTAAGGTTGGGAGAGGGTTGACCTCTCAACCCGCTCGAATTGCACCACTAGAAATTAGACATTAAAATAACTATTCTTAATGTCTAATTTTCTATATCCAATTCATAGTCTTCAAGATCCCATTCACTGTCAAGGACAATGAAATTGAACATATTTCAATATCCAAAGTCTCAATTTCAGGGGCTAGGATAGTGAAATTTGTCCAATTTAACTCTCTATGGTAATAAAATAATATTTAATTCCAATGTCCATGATAACGAAGTAAGTTTTAGTACTAAAATTTGTTCATTTCACTATTATTAATGTTAAATAAGAGTTTTTTTATTGTAAGATTTCACTGTTTCAATGGGCTATTTCAATGTCCTCGACAATGAAATTAGATGAATTTGACCAAAAGTCCTTGTTCACTCCACTTTCGAGTAGTTCTTTTTTGAGTAAACGGAATAATTGTCTCCTATAGTTTTGAAGATGGATTTCAGAACTAAGAAAAATAATTATTACCAAAGGTTAAAGAAGTTGGACCTATTATATCAGAATAAGACGTCACTGATTTTGCATCTTTCAAGACGTGAAAAAAGAGTTGAACTCATATGAGTGGAAATACTTTCAAAGGTTAACTAGGGACAGCTTACCGATATTCAAAAAGGTCAGTCTTATCCTACATAAGACCTCATTCTCTAAACAGAATAGATAGAGACAATAGATCAAGCGAATAAAGAAAATATAATCAACCCATCAAAACAACACAAACAATCATGTTTATGGATGGTGAAATACAATCAACTCATCAAACTGCAAACCATGGCATACTCCATCATTTCAATCAAAACGACAAAAATAACTCTATTTCACTGTCAATTCTACTGTCTAATGAGGAATATGTCCACCTTTGAATGAAAGTTTTTCTTACATTTTTAACCACTGCTGAATCAATGAAAAAAAAACCGACTACTCACATGTTTCTTCATAGAAAATGATGGGTTCCCTCCCCTTTTACCTCTATTACACTAGCAAGTAGGTCCTCCACTTTCACAAAACGCACCATAACTCCACCTTGTTAGTGAGTCTCCCCATTAGGATTCCCCTTGTCTGCCACAAAGTCCACCAGGACCAAAAATGAACTCCAGAACTCTCAAAGCTCGAATTCCAATACCAAGACAAATGTTTACAGCCTTGGGATGAGTATACTGGAGCTCTTGAAACGGAAATCGATGGTTAGAGAAATCTCGAGTAAGGTAACTTCTCATAGAACTAGAGATAGATAGATAATTGGCCTCTACTTGTATGATTCGGCAGGATGAACGGGTGAATGCAATTTGCAACGGTATGATTGAACTCTGGTAGATTTCCAGCAAGATTGATCGCATAAAAATAAAATATAATTTGAAAGACTCAAAATAAAAGTTCACAAAACTCTGATCAATGGCCATCAAAAAATAAAAATATATATGTACAGAAAAACTAAACAAACTACTAAGCTGCTCAAACCCCAAGGTTTGGAGCCAGGCATTGTCAATTGAAGTACCACGATTGATGATTGACTGAATAACAGTCTCGTAGTAAAATAAAAAGTATTTAATCAGAATGGACTTGGCGTGTCCTTTTTGATTTAAAAATACCATGATTTGACTTGATGGCTTAAAAGAACATCTGAATGGACTTGTGGCCAATTTTTATATTAAATAATTAACATTAAAAAATGCACCTAGTTTTGTTTGGTGTTTAAAATTCCAATTCTAACAACCAAATTCTTAAAATGTTAATCAAGTTTCATACAAATCCGCAAATATGTTCCAACAAAATAATCTCACGTAACTGGCCCATACGGATATAGTTGTTTAGCACATAATACTCATCTCATTTTCTCTTAATGTTTCTTGGGCATATTATTTCAGAATCAGACAAAATAAATCCAAAGTTTTTTGGCCCAAGGAGGGGATTTTTTTTGCCGAACAAATATAACCCTCCAGTTAATTTACATGTTGGTCATGTGAGGGTATTCCATCAAAAGGAATAGAAATTAACCCTCCAGTTAATTTCCAATTCTTGTAGCTGTGTAACCAGCATGCAGACTATGACATCAAAAACCAAAGATGACTTAAAATTTCAAGAGAAAAGTTCGAATCTCCATGGGACCAAGCTCGACAAGAAGAGTAGATCTATCCACAGGCCCACCTCTAACTGGTGCAGGCTCATCCCCACTGTCCCCCTGGACTCTCCATGTCATCCTCTTCATCTTTGACTTCTCTTGGTTTGCTGATAAGCTCATTTCCATTACCTCCTTTATCTGGAAGTGGGGAGCTGAGTTATGGATCTTTTTGTTTCCTTGTTTGTGTTTTAGGATTTTTACATAAAACTAGTAGAAGATCTTTGGGAAAAGATCCTTTCCAGTTCAGCTTTCAGTCCAGGTCCAGTCTGTGCCCGTTAAGGGACTAGAAGTAGAACACATATGCATTGACTTGAGTAACTTTTCAGTAACGGAAGCTATTGGACATTAATGGCGACTTTACAACTCAACTGACTGGGTCACGTCAAAATGATAAAAATGAAACAACATAACAGATAGGCTCTACATACCCTTTTTCCAGCAAACATCTTCTTCAGTTCTACATTGGCTAATGTTGAATGGTCAGCATCTTCGCCCACCTAACCACATTAAAAACATGAAAGCATTAGATAAGATAACCAAAACCATAAAGCATGTGGAACAATTATACTCCGATGAATTTAACTGAGATCTAATAAATAGTCAATAAATGAAATAAAATTGCTCTTTCATAATCATGGATGAAAAATCTGAGTAGAACTTTTTACATATTTAGCTACTGCATTTCTGGTTGTATGAGTTGAATGAAGGCAGGTTGTATTAGAGGTCATGCTTTTCTTTCCTGAAAACATGGTAAATCTCAGCTGCAATTTCTCAAATTTAGCATTCATTTTCATTGTGTAACCTAACCGTCTAGAGGAAGATTTTTAAGAAACCTAGCGTCACAGAGCTTTTGTTTTGCATGCTTTAGAGAAAATATGGAAGGGTAGCACAATGTAAATAGACTTTTACCTCATATAGATGTGCCAAACGGAGGAGAACATTTCCATCATCCAACTCCTACAAAACCAAGGTTAGGAAGATATCGAGAGAGATCACCTAAATCATGCATTAGTGAGTGCAATCACCTGAAGAGTAATCAATGCAACATTAAGAGGTAAACTATAGTTTGGATCCATGGATGTGGCCTTTGTCAGATGAGAAGCTTTCCAATCTTCTGATTTCTGTCCAATCAAATATCCTATCAGATAATAGGCTGTGATGTTATGTATTTTTCATTATTGTAATCTAGCATACCTCATGTGTGAAAGCTAAAAGAAGGGGTGAGTAAATTTCTTGGCCAGTTGTTCGGCGCCAGCGAGATCCAGCACCTAGCTGGTTGATACTCATATAATAATTTCCTCGGACCTGATCAAGATATTCCAAAGAGAACAAAGGACAACAAAAGCTTTTTGGAAAGCATTCAAATCTGAAGAGCTCCACGTCTATGATGAAGACCAATACATCTAAATAGTTGTTCTGATTACAATTATTTCATTGGTACCAAAATAGAATCTAGGGGAAAAAGATGTAGTCAAGATTATATTTATTCTCTAAAGCAGGGATCAACAGAGAAAAGTTGACTTCTTGAGAATTGCAAGAATAGAAATAGAAGACGAAATTAATATCCTTTAGTCTGGAATTCAAATAATTTATTTAAACTACAACATGTTCTTATAAGACAAAAATAAAAAGAAGATAAGCCCACCCCAATTTGGTTGTGCGAGACGACCACTTGTATAAAGGAGAACAAGAGCAAAGCTTGGGCACATGAGTAATGCACTGAAATGACAAACTAGAACAAGGCTAATACAATTTGAGTATCTGAAAACTTGATCTTAAAGTAAGCCTGGTGGTTATTTTCCATCACAAAAACAAAGAGAACACTAGTGAGCCCTCCATCCTCATTCAAAACTTAATGACAAAAAAATTAACATGCTAATATTCAAAATACTTCTATCTAAATGAACTCCACAATTTTTTTACCATAAGAGAAAACTTGGATGAAATTTGACTTTTGAACGACATTTACAAACCAACACTCATATGTTGACTCCTGGGGAAGGAGTTGAGACTGGGGACAGACTATGTTAAATGCTAATTTATTTTCATAGATTGACAACTGTTAATAGGTATGCAAGGTGTAGGTGGGGAGTTATAAGAAGTTGACACACGTATCTATGTCAAGAATAATCAAAGAGGATAAGTAGGATAAGCGGATGGGATGAAAGGAACTCGAACAACCTATTAACAAAGGGATAAACTAATTGAGCAGATGGCAGGTGGAGTAAAATACTCTCACCAGCCAAGTAGAAAATCTCTCCTTGCAATGGGCAAGTAATGCGGATACTTATAGCACAGTGCTAGGGCAGGTTGGGTTGCCCAAAGGGCTGCCCACTGCGACCCTCTGACACTTGCTACAACCCACAACTACCTTGACCACAGCGATACTAGTGGCCACTAACCGCAAGTCAAGTGTCCCAACATTAACTAGGAAGATGCGATATTTTTTCAAAAGCAGTCTAGACGCGGGCCCCGAGGAGGAGTGCGATAGTTGAGGCGAAAGGGGGCTCCCAAGGTTAATGATTGCGACTAGTCATTGGGAGACCATGACCTCGAGAAGGTCATGTACGCGATGCCCCCAACACGTTCCTAGCCAAGATCCTCTCTTCCCTCTCTGAACCCTTTCCTCGAGACCTTTGTCAAGATATCTGATAGAGGAAATCCATATAGTTTCAGTCTTTCAACTACCAATCCACATATTTCATTATCTCATATGTTAATCCAAACCAATAATCCCAGTTACTTTAGGAGTCCCTCCGGATTCCAGTAAAGCAACTAAACTTTTGAGACCCTAGCTCAGGCCGAGGTTGACAATCATGCTCGTCCACCACTCTCCCTTTGAGAGGACCATACTGCTCTATCACTAAGTGGGGACCCCTCCTCTTAATCCATTAGGTCAATCGAACAATGGTGTCCAGTAGGTTGGGGATACCACTTCCGTTGGTTGTGCAATCCCAGCCTTGTAGTCATGGCAAAGTTGCCCCCAGAGTCTTGTGGTACTGTTTTGTCTATGAGATCTCAAATTTTTAGAAGTAGTTTAAGTATAAAATATTATGAGTTTTGATGTGAAAGTATAAAGAATATTTAAATTTTGTGGTTGATATATACAAGGATCGAAATTTCGTTTTGAAGTACCGTTTCGGTCAGCTAAAAAATGGAAACGTTTCGGAAATGCAATGGAAACGCAGAAAAAATATGAAAACGCATAAAAACACAAATACAATCAATTAATTTATAAAGATAAGCTAAATAATTGATTAATTCAACATATTTATTGGGTTAACATCCATTTATACAAGAATAAATTTAAATTTGAGGGAAAAAAAGCTTGACATGAGGCGAAAATCACTTAAATTAGTTTCAAACACTTAATTTTTATGAAATAAACACATTTTTACATAATATTAAAGTCTTATAATACACATGAAATGCTAATGAGTACATACTTACATGGCTACATCTATCCCCCTGTGGAGTGTCGAGCAGGCTCATACATCGGTGTAGGCTCTGGGTAGCTACTTAGAGAAACTCCATATATGACATAAATATGATGACAATAGTTACTCCAACTCATATTATTACAGTAATATTATCCAATTAATAATACTATTTTATTATAATACTAATAATGAAGGGTATCAAATTAAATTAATGGTACTTATGCATACTTAAAAATTAAATGTAATTGCAGTGAGTATTAAATGTAATTGTTAATACTTATAACAAAAAAAAAAAAAATACTTGCACAGCAGTGGGGTATTAAATATAATTACAGTAGGTATTAAATATAATTACAATGGGTATTAAATATAATTACAATAGGGAATTAAGTGTAATTATTTTTTCTTATAACAAAAAAATTATAAAAGGTAGAAGAGCAGTGGGAATTAAATGTAATTATAGTGGGGTATTAAATATAATTATAGTGGGTATTAAATATTATTACAGTGGGTATTAAATGTAATTATAGTGAAGTATTAAATGTAATTATTCATAGTGAACCGAATATATCACTGTTTCGTCGAAACGGTACTGTTTCGATCGAAACGGTCCGAAACAGTGCCGTTTCGACCGAAACACTAGAATTTTGTTACTCAACTACTGTTTCGTTTCGGAGTGTTGAAATTCCGAAACGTTTCGGACGTGTCGACACGACATTTTGATCCTTGGATATATATAATAAGTAAAATAAAGGGGAGCAAAGTATAAATATCTTAACTTTTATAATTCTTTGGTCTTCACCTACGTGAAGACTTTGAAAAAAAGAAAAGAGACAAAACAAGGTAAAGAAAAAGAAAGAGAAAGAAAGAATAAAAATAAAGGAAATTCAGCTAACATTGAATACATTGTAGAAAATGTGAGTGTGTAATTAATGGTGTAGAAATGTGTGTGTTAATTCATAAAACAGTGTGTGTGTGTGTGTGTGTTCTTGCTTGCTGGAAACCGAGAGTGAGGGAGAGTAAAAGAGAAAGGAACAAAAAATATAGGTATGGGTGTCCATTTGAGCCAAGAACAAAGAGGAAGAAAGGGAGGGAGAAAACAAATCTTGGTGGGTGTTTTTAGTTCAAAACGAGAGGAAGAAGAAGAATGAAACAGAAATCAGAGTTATTGAATTTAATTAATGATTCTGAGGTACGAGGTGGTAAGCAATATACTCTCCTTAAATCTCTTTGCAAAGAATATTTCTTTGATTATCCTCTGATTTATATTCCAACTTGTGCTATGATTATTTTAGAATTTTGATTGAATATCGTTGAATATTTTGATCTCATTGATCATGTTCTGCGGATATTGAGACAAGATCGTGGCAGCCAATAGTCGATGCATCGCCAGCCAAGAGACCCGTGAGATCGGGTTGAGGTGAGATGATTGGTGAAGTGTCAGATCTGTATTAAGTTCCTGCATGACGTGTGATATGCAAATATGATGTTTGTATCTGTTTATTGAGATACATTGTGATACTCCATTATTTGGTATTCAATGTCCTTGAGCATATTTTTCCTCGTCATATTGTATACTTTCCCATTTTATTTAATATTTTCAGGTTGATTTTAGAGAAAAGATCAGAACGAGATAATCAGAGTATTAAAGACGAGGAGATGTCGATGTAACTGATGCTTTAATCATATTGAGAGATTTATTTATATTGAAAGATTTATTTATATTGAAGATTTATTTGATAAATGAAATCTAGGATAATTAGCGCTCTGTTAGTTTTATTTGGATTTTTTTTTTATATCAATTAACGTCTACGAAAAGAAGAAAAAAATCAGGGCGTTACATTGCCACTTCCAATGTGATGAGGATGTGTTCTGCCCTTCTCAGTGTTGGTGCCTACTGTGGCACTGGAGTGTTGTAACAGCATTGGATGCCAGTCCCGGCACTGGGGTGTTGTCATGAAGCTGATGCCTACCACGACGTTGGAATGCTGTTGTGGCACTGTTGTCTGTACCAATTCTACTGGACTCTGCAGGGCCCAATGTCATGTCAACTGATAATTCTTGCAACTTGTCCTTCCATAGGGTGGACACGTGTCCCAGATTTATCGGGTACGATAAGGTAGACAAAGTTGTGAGGTGAGAATGGAAGCAGTAAACCAAACAACTAAATCATCAGTAGACTGGCTACACAGATGATGTGCATACACTAGCCAAAAGCGCCTGTACCATTTTCCTCAACTCTACCATCCTATTTCATTCATAATGTAGGGAGAGAAATGAAAAGAAAACGTAAAAGAAATCAAATTTTCCTTGTTTGTTTCCTTGTTTGATTCCAATGTAAAAGCAGAACAACAAAGATAACGGGGGAACACAAGGGAATTTTTATTTAACGTGTTGTTTCCCTCTTCTTTGTCATGATTTTTAATCAAACTTGTGAAAAATAATAATTTCTAATTCATTTATCTCAGAGAGGAAATACAAGGAATTGTTTGTACCATATTTTGGGAAGTAGTATTGACATTTGATGCCACACCACTTAATTCTTTAGCCTTCCATAGATATGTGAAATTCTAGTCAGACCCAAGAAACACGATATGGACACCAATATTTGAAACTTGTCCGGTGTTATTGTCATATCTTAATTCATTTTTACAACTAATTCTTCAAAAAAAAAATTTTGAAGTTGCCAATACCTAGGACCAATGGTGGAGCCAAAATATTTAGAAGTGGGGAGTTTTGGCTGGGTGGGATGGGGCAGAGGGTAGCCCACAATTGCCTAGTGCCCAATCCCCTTGCCAGGCTAGCTGATAGCTGCCTCAGGATAATATCTCAAAAAAATTAAAGTTTAAAATATTTATGCCATAAGGTTGACTTGGTCTTTAAACAATTTTAAATTAAAAAGAAGACAAACTTCTGCTGGTTACTAATAGCATACATGCATTCTACACAAGCTGATAAAAAAATCCTCTTAATGGACAAAGTAGACAACACAACAAAGTGAAAGCCAAGACAAACACAATATGTAATGTATTTTCTCTCGTAAAGAGTCACAAGAACAACCTTAAGAGTATGTCACTGGCAGGAAAACTACAATGTGAGCCATTCTCACCTTTAATTCACGAATGTAGTTTTTGAATTCAAGAATTTAGTGAAGTGGGAGCGAGAATTTATACCGAACTCGCTCCCAATACGCGAATTTGCACTCCGAGTGATGGCACGTGAGTTGAAGGAGGCGAATCATGTGAGTAAGACATAACCTACATACATTGATTATTTATTTCTTTTTTGCCTCTTCTCTTTCTCTCTTCTTCTTTCTTTCTAACTATTTCAACTAATAAGATTAATCTTATGGATGTCCTGGTTAAAATTTATTTCTACAAAAAGTTGGGGATTAATGACATGAGATTAACTTGGTTCAAGTATGCTGTTCTTATGTCTATGTCTAAACTTTATAATGGGATATATACAACTCCTATAGCATTCATATCTTATGTCTATGTCTGTGATTCGTGGCTTATAAGCATGTAAACAAGCAGTTCTAAACTTCAAATTCTTCTGCATTACCCTCTTGGAATAATACCATTTCGAGTGCAAAAGAAGTCATAACTTTCTACAGTTATCAATCAAGGTCAGCTATATGCATCAGATACTGCCCAAAGGATCTATTTAGGTGGTCCTATCTCTAAGGCCCCACTTGGATCTTGGGAAGAGCAAAGGGGATGAAATGGCAATTTTGAGATAGTGCAGAAAACCTTTTCTTTCCTGCTCGCAGTTTCAAACCAAGCCTTAATCTTGACTATTTATATGTGTGATGAAGGAATATTTGGG